CCCAGCGGCGTCAGTTAGTTTCACCGCAAATGTTGACTCCGGTTCAAAGAAAGCTGATGTCTAGAAAATCAAGGTCTAACTACTCAAATGATTAGAGTAAATAACCGATAAAAACTCATTAACGAACCTCAAATAGCACTTTCAGCGAGACAAACTCATTCTCGTTCATCACAAATCTCGTCATATCTTCGACACTTCTTTCCGAAACATCAAAACCATCCATAGTGAATCCTTCCACTTCTGCAATAGTTACGCAACAACATTTTAGAACCATTACTAAATAAATTGCAGAATTGAGCTTAACTATTAGTTCAAGTGAAGTGTTAAGCAACAAGCTATTAGAGGCACCACGAATCTACTGCAACCAGATAAGATCTGAATAGATACCACGAATGCGATCCAGCATTGCGTCGAGCGGCATCTTCTCATCCACTACGTAGAGGTACTCATCAAGAACAACTCGCTCGTTGACGCTAAGTCTAAGCAACGCAGTACCCATACGATGGCCTGTGTGCTCAACACATCCAATTACGGTGAGACGTCCATCGATCCAATGGATAATCTAGAAATCTCTTTGAATCGTGAGCTAATTACGTTAAAACTGTCATATAATAGCACTGAAGAAGAAAAAACAAATACCAGATTAAGTAAACTGGCAAAAATTTAGTTAGCTATATAAAGACGAAGGTATCAATATTATACTATATAATACTGATATTTGATATGCCAAATAATATTGATATTTAATATATCAATACTGAAATAGAGAAATGAGAACAACATCAACTTACACGAAGAAACGCTGCACAATTACGCCCACATTTGGTCGGACGTCGAGTGAGGCGGCGCTTTGTGAACTCCGGAAAATAATCACGACCTGGTACTTGTTTTGGACGGAAACCACCACTGCGGGCGCAGTACAGATACAGAACCTAAGTAACAAGAACAGATAGTATAAAAATGAAAGATAAATATAGACTGGAGGACTTCCACCTGATAGTCGTTGCCCTGTTTTATCCCCATACGTTTGACATAAGTAACGGAAAAAACATCTTGAACCGAATTGAACCACTCCTAAGGTATTTTACCAAGAAATAATTTGCATAATATTATTTCCGGCATACCTCATATTCCCCAATGTCATTGAAATCGCGATGCACCAAACCTCCGACTCGATGAGCATTGATTACATGGTCCACGAAAGCTTTGTGGGATACAAAGGTAAGAGGACAGTCACAACAGGCAACCTGAAAGAATACATTTAAAAATGATTTTAGGAGAAACATGATCTCCCCAATGCAGTTCTATGCCCAGTTGTGCTTGAATTTATTGGGAAATAAGTTCCCTTAAAAAGCAGAAATTGTTTGAAACAACAATTATAAGATCTCAGATATGAGACAAAACAAAGGAAAGTGTTCAAATGACCTGTCTTGCAGAATATCCAGGATTGCTGAAACCCCCATGCACCTTTCGCATATG